GGCGGGACGGACAAGGCTTTGATCGCAAGCGCAACGGGATGAGACTGCGTGCAGTAGGAGAGTGGAGGGAGGGAAGGAAACGAATGAAACATTATTAGCGGCAAAGTCCTCATTTCGTACTCTTTAATGTAAAAAACAAACAGCAGGCACAATGGTAAACACAATATCAGGTCCTAAGTGGACGTCTTTGTGTTTTACAACGCACAACCTTCAACCTTGTGCAACATACTTTCTTTCCTGTGTTAAATGAACATGGATTCACCGCCGTATTATTCAAGTAGCACTGTTTTTAGATTCTTCCACGGTCTCGATAGCGTAAAAATGTAACACAATTATCACCGCTCATCAAAAAAAAACATAAGTGTGGGGCAAAGATGACACATTTTTTCAAAAAGTGCATTTCGGGCGATGCGATGTCTTTTCGTTTCGTCGAGTAATTGCATCGCTCATCCGGTGCCCTCGCGGTCGCTGCGCTCAGAGTCCGTGTGCTTGCGGAGGCCCAGCGCCATGCTCTGCGGATGCTGCTTCAGCTTGTAGCACACCTTCCAGATCTCGAACAGGCAGATGGTAGAGTGGAAGCGGTAGAATATGGCGAGCGGCATCGAGATGTGCACGATGAGCGTCCACGGCCACTCGCCGTAGAACTTCATCAGGTTGGGCCGCGAACGGGCGCGCGACTTCTCCATCGTGTTGACGCACCACATCGCCATGTTGGCCACGAGCAGGAACGTGACCATCTGGCGGCCGGGCTTGCGCCGGTGCTCGCGCGGGCTGCTGCAGCGGCGGCGCGTCGCGTCCAGCACGAAGATGGTCTGGCAGATGGTCTGGATGAGGGCGATGAGCTCCGACACGAGCAGGCGCGGCATGGCGCCCGTCGAGCTGTACGCCAGCACCGAGAAGACGTTGTAGAGGAAGACGCCCGCCTGGGCCATCACGAGCAGCGTGTTGTCCAGGCCGAGTCCTGCAGAAGATGACTGAGGTCAGAGCCACAATGACCCCACCACAACTGGCAAGACCCCCATCCGTGGGGGACTCGATAAATTCAAGCGTACACATTTTTTTTTTCAAATTTTCTCTGATCTATTTTCAATTTTTTTCTGATTTTTAATTGCCTTTTTCTGTTTCTTTTCCCTTATGTTTTACTGATAGTATTGCAAGGTGCATTCTGATTTATTTAATTTTAAACGAAGTACCCCTCTTCCTCGCCTCCGCCCCACATCCCCAACACAGTGCCGTGCCCACTCACCGCCGGTCTTCTTGATGTACTTGAGGGCGCGGATCTGGTAGCAGGCCATGAGCACGGCGAGGGTCGTGACGACGTACAGCCCCAGCTCGCACACGATCACCACGTGCATGGCCACGTCGCTGAAGCCGGGCGCCTCGTTCAGCACGAAGAACAGGATGAGACTGATGATGGTCAGCACGACGACGACGATGCCGGCGAACAGGCCCTTGTGCGCCTTGGTGCAGTCCAGGGAGAGGTGGCTCGCCGAGCGTCCATTTTCTGCCTCATAAAAAGAAAAAAAAGTCCCATGAGAAAGAGTTCCGTATGAAGCCGACTCCCACCAGTTTTTTTTCTTCCTCGTTCCCACGAGCACACATAGTCACACACGAATGCATTTTTTCCCTCAGCCCTCTCGGCGACGACTGCGGCAAACGACGGAGCATGGCGCCACCTGCAAAAAGGGAAATAGGCCAAACCTTCCCTTGGACTACTGCCGCTACCCGAAAGAGGGAGAGCCGGAAGAGCTGCGCTGCCGCTGGCGAAGCTCCGAAAAGTCAAACTCGGTATATCCCCGCCTTTTACACTTCTCCTTCTCTGCGTCCCCTGCCCGGGGGGTGTTCGCCATCCCCACCCGGTGGTTCGGGCGATATTGAGGCGCCCCGCGCCCTGCACCCCGGGGGCTGTTGCAAGGCGGGGCGGGGTAGGTTGGGATAGGACGGCGGGTTGTTGCAGCGAAATGCTGCCGCCGGAGCTGGAGCGCGAACGAAAACAAAACAAACAGCCCGAACCGCTTACGCTGCGCCCTGCTGCGCCCTGCTGCGCCTCGCTACAACCACTACTGCGTTGCACTACGCCGACCAGGCCACCCCGCCCCACCCCGCCCCGCCCCGCCGAGGCCGTTGCATTCGCGCGCCCCGCTGCAATATATACTGTACACAGTGGGAGTGGGGTGGAAATGCACCGCCCAGGCCGCGGCCTAACCTCGTGCACGCCATTCTATTTGCCCCTGGTCAGGGTGGCGTTGGGTATGGGAGGGTGCTGCTGATGGTGGTGGTGCTGCTGCTAAGGTCTCACCCGGGCCGGGGCCGCCCCGCCACGCCACGCCCTAGGGACCCAGAATGGAGAACGGCGAGGAGCAGGCTAGTGGAGCGGACACCACAAGCACGCCAGCCGGGTAGCACGGGTCCCGCTACGCCCCGCCACGCCACAGCCCTCTATGTCACGATGCCGATGCCCGATCGGCTCGTGGGGCGGACCAGACCCACCGCACCATCCATGGGGGCACCATGGGCACCATGGGCGCCATGGGCCGCACTGGTTGGTCGCTCTCCTCGGCTACCGTCGTTTCATTCCGGTATTCATGGCGATGGCGGCATCAGCAGAATCCGGCGAGCGGAGCGCTGCTCGGCGGGGCGGTCGGCGGTCCATCGATGTATATTACCACCGGCACGGAGGGACGCGCGGCCCCGCTACCCGCTTAGGTCCGGGACGGCCGCAGAACGCGTCGCCCGCCCCGCCCCGTCCTGCCCCGCCGTGCCCCGACTGGTGCGCACGGGTTGCTATTGGCTCTTATTTCTGGCTCGGCGCTGTCGCCGGCCGGATGACCATATGATGCATGTTTGTTGCGGTACTCGCCGCTCTGAGTAGCGCCGGCGGGTCGAAAAGGATTCAGAGAGATAAATGTGGACAGAATGAGCGCGCGCGCTGCCATGTGCAGCATGGCTTTCGCGCTGGTCCGGCGGCGGGGGGATTTTTCGAAACTTGATGTCCGAGATTTAGTGGAACGAGAGCGAGGTGCGGCAGAAATATTCCCACGGCCCACGTTTTCTATGTATTCTCATTTTGTTAAGGCTTTCACACGTGATTTAGATTGGAAACCCTGGAAAGTTTCAGGAAAATTTCAGCAAAATTTTCGGAAAAAACAGAAAATTTCGTCGACTTTGGAAGTTTTTCGTTACTTTCCGGAAATTTTCGGGATTTTTTCGGCAAATTTCAGGAAAGTTTTGGAAATTTTCAACGTGATGCTCACCGTGCGGAGACTCCGGTTCGCGGCTCTCCCTGTTGCCGTGGCCGTGCCCGTGGCCGTGCCCGTGGCCGCCGGCGTGGTCGCGGTGCGTCACCTTCCACATCTCGAAGAGCACGACGGCGCAGATGAGCGAGTACTCGATGGTGCACGGGAAGAGGAACGGGGACGCGTTCCGCACCAGCGCGCCCAGGATGTCCGAGGCGATGCACTCGTCGACGGCGTCGTGTGGGCCGTCGTGCGAGCTGCGCGTCGCGACGTGGTGGTGGTGGCCGCCGCCATCCTCAGTGAGGCTGTCGTTGAGGGACGCCAGGCCTGTCGGAGGGAAGAGCACACAGATGTATGAGCACCCTGGTGATGATTGCTTACCAAAAGTGTGCAGTGTGCAAAATAAGTAATTTCGAGTAATTTTAACGATACGAAAAGTTTAGCCCATAAAACACTAAATGGCTGCCGGCTGCCTACATGTTGCCCCAAGCGAACAAATCCAAATATACCCGCCAGTGCACTGTACTGGCGGGTAGACTGCAGCCGCACCCACACGAGTGCAGCGGCGGCGCACGTTTTCATCATCGTGAGAGGCCGCCGCTCGCATGCCTTATTCAACTGCCAGCAGGCTACTGCCGCCGGGGCTAGACCGGGAGCGCCCGGCTGGTGCGCCCATGCAGGCCCGGCCGGCGGGGCGGTGCAGCGGGCGGCCTACTCCCCGCCGGCCGGGCGCTCCCCGCTGCAGCGCGCTGATGGACGGGCACCCGCATGATAGCATGGGCCGCATTATTCATCTGCCTTTACTACTCGTGTGCCCACGGCGGGTACCGCCGGTAGGAGACTGCCGCCCGGGCAAAGGACGAAACCAAGTATCTTTATTTCAAAAAAATATTCAGAGCAGCCGGGGAAAAAATTGAAACAGGTGGATGGATTTGAATAGAGTATTTTAGCGATTTTTTTCAAAACATGTTTCTGCTTGTTTCTGATGGGGATTTGGCTCACCACCGACGAGGTGCAGGTGGTGGATCTCGTGCTTGGCCTCCTCGATGATGACGGTGAGCCACTCGCACAGGTTGGTGGCGATCATGTGCATGAGGCCGAACTGCGCCACCACTTTGTGGCGCAGCATGTCCATCTCCTGCGGGCGAGAGAGAGTGACGGGTACAGAGAGTGAGAGAGACGATTGTCACCACCCCCAACCACCTGCCGGCCGCTCGACCCATACCCTGTTGTTGAGGAAGATGAACTGCATCTGCACCAGCGTGAGCACCATGCGCGCCGCCGGGGTCAGCGCCTGCGTGGCGAAGCGGCAGTCGGTGCGGAGCTCGAAGAACTGGCCGAACTCGAGGCCCGAGTACACCATGCTGCCGATGCCGAACGCTAGAGAAGTCAGACAAAGAACACGTGTCTCGTCGGGCCTCCTTCACAAAGTTTTCCCCGGCCTTGAATCACTCCGCTCTGCCTAAGTTTTTCGTATGTTGTTTGCTCTAAAATTAAAATTTTAGAAAAAGGAGCAGCGTAATTATTTCGAGTCGGAACGCTTAGTCGCGCGCCGCTCCAGCTCCTGCCTGATCCTCGGCCTCCACTCCACCGCACGCCTCGCCTCTCCTATTTTCTAACCCCCCCCCCTCTCCTAGGCCTATTCCGAGGCGTGGCCCGGCGTGCTCGACCCACTTCGTAATCCTACTTCCACAATCAGAGTGGAGTGAGGGCGGGCAGGGGCGGGGCAGGGGAGTGCACCCCTGAGGGAGAGGGGGGGAGGGGAGGGCTGCCGTAACGCACAGGTGGGCGCGGCATTCGCTGGAAATTGGTTTGTCTCGCAAGTTCCGCGCGCGCACCCGGCCCTCACCAGTCCCTTCCGCTTCCTGCGGACTTCTTAATTCCGTTTGAAAATTCCGCGCCGCCGCTATACACCCGAAGCGAAATCGTGCGCGCGCGCGAGCCGTCGCCGCTGATCCAAAAGCGGCTCATCGACGCCCCACGCGTCCGCCCCCTCCCCTCCCCCCTTCCATCTCTTCTCATTCCTATTTCTCCGACCCAGTTCCGTTGTTTAGCTAAACGCCTCTTTCATTTCGACGGCACTGTTGTTTTACTCTGCCTGCAAGAGCGCGGCACGCGGCACAGTTTAACTACCCCCCTCCCCTCCCCTCTTCCACCTGCTGGCTTATCTCCCTTCGCCGTGACCCCCCAGGCGCTGCGTTTCCTCATAACGTCTCTATTTTTATTGCTTGTGTAATATTATTTTAAAAGAGTCTCATCACCCCACCCCCCCCCCGTACGTTTTGACACCGCTAGCAGGCAAGCCCATAGGGCAGCGGGCGACCCTCATAAGTTCGATGACACTTTCACGCTTGGCACGTGGCTGTCCCCCCACCCCGGGCCCGCCTACTCCTCCATTCATACCAATGGCTCCGAGGCGCAGGTAGAAGCTGCCGTAGTGCTTCCGGGGCCCCGGCCTCGCTATTCCGGACAGCGTCGAGTCAATGCTGGGCCGTGGCTGGCTTCCTTTGCGTCCTGCCGATACACACGGCCATGCGAAAGAGAGGAGAGCGAGCGGCGTTTTTTATTATTATCGGCTGGCGAAATAAGGTAAGTCATGCTGGGCGCGTGGGTAGTCCAACAGGAGCGGACGAGGTCAACGACACTCACGGTACGTGTTGACGAGGAAGATGACCGCCCTCTTCTTCAGCACGTTGCCGTACATGAATAACAGGAAGAAGAACGTGCCGAAGTAAAGGTACAAGTAGAAACCCTGGAACAAACAAAACGGTGGAAATACGAGTAAATATCTTGGATTATTTTTATCTTTTCCTTTGTTATGATCACTGCAAACCTCTGCTTACCTGATAATATTTACCCTCTTCGTAAATTGTCTCCAAGATAGGAAATGCTATGCCAAGGGTCACGAGTAGTTTGGCATACATAGCGGACAGATACACTGTTATCGTATCGCTATAAAATAGAAAAAGCACACGTTTTGATTAAAACATACAGTATACACTGCAGCAGTTTTAAGAAAATTATCCCATCCACATCGTACTCGAATTTGGGCGTGACCTTCAGGTACTCGTCGCTGACCGACAGAGGTGTGAACGAGTGGTTGGATCTGTCCAAGTCCACGTCCGGTGAGTCCATCAGCCTGTAGCACACGAGACAAAGGGTTAGTTACTCGACAAGGTCACACAGAAAAAAACGTGACAGGCAATACACAAAATCTGCAAGGACTGCAACATCTTTTTTTTCTTTTCAAATAGAAGCGCGCCTCTTGCCTGCGCTGCTCGTCGGGCGAGTGGTGGGACATGAGGACGACGGCGGACGGTCGGCGGAGCGCCACGGTGCCGCAGGCGTGCTGGATGGGCGTCACGTCCATGGCCGGCGAGGCGGCCGTCGAGCGCAGGATGGAGGTCGGCGCCGGCGCCGGCGCGGACGGCAACACGGTGACCGCCGGGGCGGGCGTCACGCTGGGCCGCCGACCAAGCGCCGTCTCGATGTGGTGAAAGATGGAAGGCGCCGAAGGCCGCCGCCATCCTACAAAGGGACGCACAACATGTCTTGACCTCAGTCGTAACCGGTTGCAACGTACTACGATACGGCATCGAGCTTGGCGGTGGAGGCGACCAGTCCTCGACACCGGCACACTCACCGCGGCGGTCCATGCTGGACGACGAGGGCGGCTCGAGGAAGATGAGGTGCCTTTCGTTGGTCCTGGCGGCGCCGGCGCCACCACCGCCTCCGTTGGCTCCCGACGAGGACGAGAAGGAGGTGAAGGAGTCCCTCGGCTCCCAGACGGGGTCCAGCCGAGGCCCCCCGGCCTGGCCGCGCCGGGGCAGCGTCCGGCTGGGGACCCTGGGCACGGGCTGCTCCGAGCCACTGCTGTCGTCCGCCGCGCCGAACTCGCTGCCAGCAACAAGCAGTGGTTCCAGCAGCTGCGACTCACCACCGTCCATCCTACGGATCGGCACTGACCCAGGCGGACTCACCTCCCATACTCCTCCGCCACGGTCCTCATGGCGCCGGCCGGGAGGGGGCGGGGGGCATCCCGACCCGACCCGCTCGCGACTGTACACCTTCGTACAAATTTGTAATTGGGGCTATTTGTTATCACCTCGGCGACGCCCTGTCTCGGCGCCCTGGCCGACCCCGCGGCTCTCGTTTCGGCGTCCACGACGACGTCAGCGTCGAGAGGCGAGGGTTAGTATCTGGCCGGCGCCGTCGGTGGCGCCTGCTGCTCGGCGAGGACTGGACAGCCGCGGGGCTGCCTCGGCCCGCCACGCCCCGCCACGCCCCACCACGCCCCGCCACGCCGCGCCACGCCGCGCCCCGCCGAGCTTCGGCGCATCGCGCGGATCTGATTAGCGGCCGGCGGCGGCAGGTAGGGTCAGTGCAGGAGGAGACCCAGCCTGCACCTACCAACCTACCGACAGGACAACACGGGGAAGTGTGGGCGCACCGAGGGGGTCACTGTGCCCACAACAACCGTAATTGGTCATTCGCAAATGAATTATTGTTTTTGAATAAAAAACTCATAACCATGTCATATACGACGAAGTAGTCGTGAATAGTGTTGTCGTCTTTGTGATGCTGCCAAACATCGATGTGATGTGATGCGACCCTGCGAGGGGTGCATTAGGATACACGTGAAAAATGGGCGGGGCCGCCGTCCGGGAGAGGGGGTTTTTGTTTCTCACAGATCGTCCGTCTGGCGTCGAGGCAGGTGATGGGATGAAGGATAATACCAGAGCGGGTGGCGTGGCCGAGACCCGTCTCGTTAGCGTTTGTATTTAGCACATTCGGAAGGGAGGGGGAGGGGGCGCCGCCACGGCGCTGCCAGCCGAGCCGCGGCCCGGCGGCGGCCGACGGGCGCCACGCGTTTGGTGCTCCCGATGCTACCCTTGAAAACACCGCGCGGTCTGCATGATGCGTGTGAACTGGGAGTGGGGCTGATGCTCGCGGCCCGCCCCGAGGGCCAGGCCAGTCGGCCGAGACACAGTCAGGGGACAGAAGCGACCATCCACGACGGGACGCCGCTCTTCCTCGATCTTCGCCTCTGCCGTCACTCGAGGCTGGGGAACACGGCGTACGTCATGACGCCGCACAGGTTGTTGGCGCGGCTGATGCGCACGTAGCCGCCCTCGCCCCAGTCGCGGCCCCACGAGTTGCGCACCGTCCAGTACGGCCCGCCCTGCGGGTCCTCGCCGTAGCCCACCAGCACCACGGCGTGGCGGAGGTCGTCCTCCGCGTTGGTGCACTCCGGGTCCGAGTACACGCCTGCAAGCAGAGCACGCCCCGCGCGGCCGGCAGTGAGAGAGCGACGCCCGCCGCGGGTTGCGACCCGAGAAGTAGGAGGCGGGGGGGGGG